ACTTCAATAGCTACAGTTTAAAGTTAACCAGCTTAATATTAATTTTAAAATATTCCTTTTTTTTTCGTTTAAAGCCTCAGGTAGAGGAGTGGGATAGAAAATGGATGGATAGATATTCTACACTAAAGTGTTCTAGATTATTTGCAAAGAAAGAAACAGAGTTATCTTAAAAACATCACTATGTTGTGTCTGTAGAACTAATCTCTATATCATGTTAAAGCCAATTTTCTTTGTATTTTAACAAATAACCTCATCAGAAGCTGAATAAAAATATTTTATTTTATTCTAGAAATGTAAATAATAATTTTCCCTGAGATGTAAATAGTTTTTTTTTTTTTTTTACCTTAATTTAAAAAGATAAGATTCCTGCTGGCTAAAATCTAAATGGTCAGAATTACAGGTGAAATTTAGCAGGACTCCATCCTCGGCCCTTTATTATTTAAAGGGCCGAGGATGGATATTCTGATGCTAACGCAACGGTACTGAAAACACTAAAAAAAAAATAAAAAAAACAATCCACTGGACTTTTTTTCCAAGTTTGAAGACGTTTTGCTTTCCATCCAGGAAGCTTTTTCCATTCAAAATGTCAGAAATAGTGTTGAGTTCCAGGCTTTATAGAGTGGATCAAGAACAAAGCCTTGACCTGGATGACTGAGAAGCTCCACCAGCATATCCCAACCTCAACCTTTTCTATGTTAAACTCATACAAAACTCTTCTTTTTTACATGGTGAACAGATTTAGAAAGTAAGGTCTTCATAAAAGGCTCGACACATTAATAGCCTTCATTTAAACTCTGCCAGACAAACAGTAAAAAATAAATAACTTTGTTTTCAGTGAGTGAATAAACAGAGTCAAACAAAATGTAGAAGCCAGAAAGCAGAACTTTGAGTGTCTTACCAATAAAATGTTAAACAACCTGTCTGAAGAAGAGATATTAAACTGAGCACCAGGGAAAGATTGTCCCACAGGATAATCAGAGGTTCCTGTCATTTATTATAAATCTCTGCTATCAAGGCAGCAATAAAGAGCCTGTGAGACAGGGAAGCAATATTTTAAAGAGAAAAGAAAAGCTCTAATGTATGTGTGCTCCAGCAGAGATGACAGGGGGACAGTCACCCTGCTCATATTAAAAAGGACAGAAATGAGCCTCTATAACTACCTGTGCCCCTGCAGACCCAACAGGTAGCATGCCATTAGAAAGGATAGATGACAGACGGGACNGAGACAGGGAAGCAATATTTTAAAGAGAAAAGAAAAGCTCTAATGTATGTGTGCTCCAGCAGAGATGACAGGGGGACAGTCACCCTGCTCATATTTAAGAGAAACTACCTGAGCCTCTATAACTACCTGTGCCCCTGCAGACCCAACAGGTAGCATGCCATTAGAAAGGATAGATGACAGACGGGACACAGTCCAAACAGAGCCAGAGAGCCCCTTCCTGCTGCTCCACTGTGTTTTACAGTCTTTCCTTCTGACTCACTGCCAGTCGCAGCCCCGTCATGTTCAAGACCTCCAGCTCAAAGGTGGGGTTATCTCCCGGGGAGGAGACCCAACGCCACAAATCACTGCTTTGTCTGCTTCTTATGTACAAGTACAGGCCAGACAACAAACCAGACGCACAATTACTGTAACAGGACATAATGCTGCAGCTGAGGGGAGCATCGGGACCAAAGCAGGTCACTGAGGATTAGATGGGGGCCTTGAAGGAGCCCAGGCCTTTACTGCATGTCCCCCATCTCTCTCTGCCCTTTTTAATGTGGTCCAACCCATAAATAAAACATACAAATAGAGTCTACTTTAGAAAAAGCTTTGCAGACATTGTTGGTGCATCACCCCAATTCACAAAGGCCTTACAATGAAAATCTGCAGCTCAGATGATGCAGCACAGCAGACAGCGTCTCTCTATACTGTTACAGCTGGAAGCATTTAAAGCAAGCGTTCTGCTTGCATTTGGAGGGAAAATACATATGCAATTATACATGCACATTTCTATAAAATGTTGGTGAACAAATAAATGAAAAGAAAGCTTTAGTTAATACCAAACTATAGTTTTCTATTAGACAGTGAATTTAAGCCAATCAGAGTTTTGTATTTCATATGCTTTTGGCCTATATTTATATATTAATCTGTAAAAGTGTCAGATTGTTCCAGGTTTCTTTTATTAATCCAATGGAGTCATGGAGCTGCAGCTGTGGGAGATGTTCAGCTTTATTGGGCCTTTCCAAGTATTTCAACTGATCCCTCAGGTTCTACCATCTCACTTTCACCCGTACTTCTGCTTATCCAGGACAAGGTCACAGAGGCGGTTTAACTCTACTTTTATTAGCAGTCTAACACAATGCAGATCAATAATATCTGCAGGAACTAAAAGCTAAAGTGTTTATTACAGTTTCAGGCTGTTGTCCAATGACAGAAAGCCTCTCATTAGGATTAAATATAATGTTTTAATCCTTGGTTAGTAATCAAGCTGAACTTTCAATTAAATTCAGTTTATTTCTATAGCACCAATTCACAACACATGTCATCTCAAGGCA